TGAGAAAGAGTTGTCCATTTAGGTACAGGAAGCCTCCAGGACACCAAACAGGCTTGACCAAAATAGAACAACTAACACAGAGAACAGGGAAAGAATATTGAAGGCCATAAGAGAGAAAAAACAAATAACGTATAAAGGTCAAACCATCAAAATAATAGCAGACTTCTCAACAGGCAAGAAGGGCATGGAGTGAGGTATTTTGAGCACTGAAAGAAAACAATTTCAATCCTAGGACATATTACCTGGCAAAACTACCTTCAAAATTGGTAGAGGAATAAAAGTCTTCCATGATAAACAGAATCTAAAACAATATATGACAACCAAGCCACCACTATAGAAGATTCTGAAAGGAATCCTACACACAGAAGACGAAAACAAACATGACCATAAAAGGACAGGAAGTATTACAACTTATGAGAAGAACAGATAAGTTCTTAGAGTTAGCATTGAATTGGATACATAAACATAAATTCTTAAACAACAAAAACAATGCAATGACAGGAATCACCACATACCTCTCAATACTAACCCTAAATCTCAATGGACTCAACTCCCCATCAAAAGTCACCATTTGGCAAACTGGACTGAAAAGGAAGACCTGACAATCTGTTGTTCACAAGAGACACACCTTATTGACAAAAACAAACACTGGCTTAGGGTGAAAGGCTAGAAGACAATTTACCAAGTTAATAGCCCCTAAAAACAGGCAGAAGTAGCAATACTTATATTAGATAAAGTGGACTTTAAACTTAAATTAGTCAAAAGAAATTAAGAAGGTCATTTCATACTAATAAAATGAGCAATAGATCAAGAGGAAATAACAATTATCAACTTAAAATGTCAGTGCACCCAACTTCATAAAACATACACTAAAGGACTTAAAACCACATATAGACCCCAACACAGTAATAGAAGCAGACTTTAATACTCCTCTATCAATGATAGGTCATCCAACAAAACAAAACAAAAAATCAACAAAGAAATCCTAGAACTAAATGACACCACAGATGTAATGGAACTGACAGATGTCTTCAGTGCATTCCATCCTGCAACAGCATGATATACATTCCTCTCAGCGGCCTGTGGAACTTTCTCTAAAATAGATCATGTATTATGATACCAGCAAGTATCAACAAATATAAAAAACTGAATTTGTTGTGGTAAGAATGTTGCTTCTATGCAAACTAGTCAGGGATAGTGAGAGAAAATGCAGACCAATTACTGGAGAGAATCAAGGCAAGGGAAAGAAACAAGGAAACATTTTGGAACACAGGATGGAAGAGCTGCACCCCATGGGTAGCCCCTTGGGTGGGCCCACTTACTGTGCTCCTTATGCTGTTACTCTTAGGGCCCTGTGTGATAAACCTCCTCACCAGGTTCATTCGCAACTGGATGAACTCCATTAGATTACAGTTAGTGAGGCAATATCAAAGACTGCCCCTAGATGACACCCCTGAAATGGTCGTAAGGATTATGAAGAGTAAGAGGAGGAAATGATAAAGAAACCCAGGGGAGATATCTGAAAGCCAAGCCCCAGTTTCACAAATGTGCTAGGGTGGTATGGTATAACCTTGAGGTAGTGTGATAAGTTGTAACCTCCCAGCGAGAGGCTAACTGCCATGTCTGCTTTTGTCCTTCCTGCTTGCTTCTGCATTCTGAGGCATAAAGTCCCCTCAGCCCTGAGCTATGGGACCGGTGCCATTTTTGGAGAGATCCAGGTGTTTGCTCGCTAATGTAATAAATCTTCCTTTCCTCCAACCACCTGGGTTTGAGTCCTGGTCTCGCTGGTCTGACATTCATCCCACAACAAAATAACACCCTGTGTAAAATCTGATCACAATGCAATAAAACTAGAACTCAACCACAAAATCAGCAGCAGAAAATACTCAAATAATTGGAGGCTGAAGAACACATTGCTCAATGATCAGTGGGTCATAGAAGAATTAAGGGAAGAAATCAAAAAGTTCCTGGAAACCAATGAAAATGAAAACACAGCTTATAAGAATCTATGGGCTACAGCAAAGGCAATCCTAAGAGGAAAGTTTGTAGCCATCAGTACATATATTAGAAACACAGAAAGATCTCAAATAAATGACCTAATCTCAAAGTCCTAGAAAAACAAGACCAAGCTAAATGCAAAACAAGCAGAAGAGAAATAATAAAAATAAGGGTTGAAATCAATGAAACAGAACAAAAAGCATACAATGAATTAACAAAACAAAAAGCTGGATCTTTGAAAAAATAAACAAGATTGACAAGCCTCTGGAAAATCTGACTAGAATGAGGAGGGAAAAGACACAAATTAATAAAATTAGAAACTAAAAAGGAAAGATAACAACAAATGCCAAGAAAATCCAAGGAATCTCAGGGACTACTTTGAGATCCCATATTCAAATAAACTGGAAAATTTAGAAGAAATGGGCAAATTTCTAGATACTTATGACCATCCAAAACTGCAGCAAGAGGATATTGACCACCTAAGCAGATCTATACCACACAATGTAATTGAAGCAGCTATAGTCTTCCAAAAAGAAAAGTCCAGGACCTGAAGGATTCTCCACTGAATTCTGCCAGACCTCTAAAGAAGAACTATTTAAAATTTTCCATGAAATAGAAGGGGAAGGAACACTGCCTAAACTCATTCTGTGAAGGCAGTATTATACTCATCATAAAACTGGACAATAAACAGATTGAGAAAGATAATAGGAAAATAATTCCATTTACAATAGCCTCAAAAAAATCAAATACTTAAGAATAATCTTAGCAGTGATATAAATGACATCTACAAGGAAAACTACAAACTGTTGAAGAAAGAAATTGAAGAAGGTTATAGAAGATGGAAAGATCTCTCATGTTCATAGATTAGTAGAATCAACATAGTAAAAATGACTATACTACCAAAAGCAATTTACATGTTCAGAGCAATTCCCATCACAATCTCAATGACATTCATCACAGAGATTAAAAGTCAACCTTAAAGTTCATTTGGAAACACAAAAGATTGCAAATAGCCAAAGCAATACTGAGCAAAAAGAAAACACTGGAGGTATCACAATACCCAACTTCAAACTATACTACAGAGCAATAGCAATAAAAACGACATGGTACTGGTACAAAAACAGATATGAAGACCAGTGGAATGGAATAGAGGACCCAGATATGAATCCACACAGTTATGCCTACCTAATTTTTGACAAAGGCACCAAAAACATACGATGCAGAAAAGACAGCCTCTTCAACACGAATGTTGCTGGGAAAACTGGATATCTGCCTGTAGAAAACTGAAACTAGATCTGTGTTTGTAACCCTGTACAAGTATCAACTCAAAGTGGATTAAAGACCTTAATATCAGACCTGAAACCTTTAATCTACTACAATAAAGAGCAGGCAATATTGCCAGGTAGTGAGGGGGTGGGGGAGAGAGGGAGGGGGCAGGGGGGGGTCAGGGAGGGGAGGGGAAGGGTGGAGAAATGACCCAAACATTGTATGCATATATGAATAAAAATAAATAGATAAATAAATTTTTAAAAAAGTGCAGGAAATATACTGGAAGCAATCATTAGTAGAACACAAGCAGCTCAGCAGCTAAGAGAAAGGATCTACAAATGGGACTACATGAAATTAAATAGCTTCTGCACAACAAAAGAAATGGTCTCTAAATTGAAGAGGCCATCCACAGAATGGGGGAAAATCTTTAGTAGCTATACATCAGACAAGGGCCTGATAACCAGAATATACAGGGAACTCAAAAAACTAAACTCTCCCCAAATCAATGACCCAATAAAGAAATGGCAACTGAACTGAACAGAACTTTCTCAAAGGAAGCAATCCAAATGGCTAAAAACCACATGAAAATATGCTCACCATCCCTATCCATAAAGGAAATGAAACACAAAACCACACCAAGATTCTATCTCACTCCTGTTAGAATCATCAAGAAGACTACCTTGTTGGTAAGGATGCAAGGAGAAAGGAACCCTCATACACTGCTGGTGGGAATGTAAGCTAGTACAACCACTATGGGAGACAGAATGGAGGCTCCTTAAAAAACGAGAAATAGATCTGTCATAAAATCCAGCAATACCACTCCTAGACATATACTCAATTGAATGTGAGTCACGTTACAACAAAGGCGTTTGCACATCCATGTCTATTGCAGCACTATTCACAATAGCTAACTTAAGGAAACAGCCAAGATGCCCCACTACTGATGAGTAGATTGAGAAAATGTGGTATTTATGCACAATGGAATTTCACTCAGCACAAAGAAGAATGAAATTTTGTCATTCACAGGTAAATGGATGGAATTGAAGAATATCATCTTAAGTGAAGCTAGCCAGGTTCAGTATGCCAAAAGCTTCATGCTCTCCCTCATATGCAGATTGTAAACCTAAAATAAAAGCAGCATTATAATGGGACATGGGCCACATTAAAGGGAGTCTGTGCAGGGGAGTGATAGAGCAAGGGAAGGAAACCAAAAACTTGAATAAGGTTGATATGCTCAGTGTACAGCAATGAAAATAAAAATTTTAAACTGGCCAGGGTTACCATGGGAAGCAGACTAGGAAAGGCTGAAGAGGAATGGAAGAGGTGAATCAGTTGGAGATGTAATACACACATACATGGAAACAACACCATGCAGCATCAGCAAAAACCTCATGTTTCTCATTTTTTTTATGTTTTTTCTTCTACAAAATCAGAGAACAGGAGGGCAGAACAGGTTCTGCCAGGGAGTTGGGCGGTTGGCACCGGTGGGAGGGGGGAGGTGGTGGGGAAGGTGTAGGAGGATGAAACTGTTGAACCTGTTCTGGGAATCAGGGGTTGGGGAATGGGGGAGAGCAGTGGAAGAGGGTAAATTCAAGTATGATATATTTGAAAAATTGTAAGAACTTCTGTGAATGCTACAATGTACGCCCACTCAGCACAACAATAAAAAGAAAAAGAAAGACATAATAGATGACGAATCAAAAAAAAAAAAATGTGTTTGCTCTTTAAGTTACCGGAAGCAATGTGGCTCCAAGTGCTAAACAAAAAAGGATGGGCCCTGTGAGGTCCGTTTCATTGATAATGCTGCCATCTGCTGACTTCATTGGGTTTAACACCGTTAAAGTTTTTTGCCATATGTGATCAAAATTGATTCCAAGTTCTGCAAGAAGGAAAAATAAAAAGAAATAATTTAAATATAGAAATATAAAAATGAGTTCCATTCTTTAAGTTCAACATATCTGATACTACTTATGAATCTTATTCATATTGTAAAGTTCCAAGATAATATATAATAATCTTTAAAACACAAACTGAAAAAGAACTTTTGTTCTTTTTGTTCTTTTTCATTTAATAATGAAATTAAATAAATACTTTAGAGAAAAAAGTTCCATCAGGGGAAAATTTATATGACTTATAAACAAATATACGCTTAAAATTGGGAAATTGACGGTACACAGTACAAAATAAATTATAGCTAAGGAATAAAAAGTCTTGAGAGATCAGGAGAGGCAAAAAGGCTGAAAGTGGGAGTGGGGTGACAAGCCAACCTCCCAGAGGAACCACTAGGACCCAGAAGAGGATGGGAAAGGCACAAAGGCTGACAATAGGGGTGAGGCACCAGTCCAACCTCCCAAAGCAGGGCAGTAGGTGGATCCAGGAGCTGATCTCTGGGTCAGAGGGCAGCATTCAAAACTGAATTGTCCCTCCTCGCTGGGGGAGGAGCTGAATAAACAGAGATGCAGCTGAAGGGCAACACAACTGTTGTGTGGCAAAAACAACAGCACTGACAACCCTGTACAAGCTCAGTCTTACCTCACCTCACAATTCCAACTAATCTTATGGACAGAGGATGAAATACTAATCACAAGCCAGTCACCTGGTAAGACCACATCAGAGCTTCTGCTTGTATGCCAATACCAGGATTGTACACTTAAAGAATAACTCCAGAACTTTTACCAAAAGAATGAACATCTTGTGGTTCCTGAACCTGGCATTTTTATTGTGTTTCTTTTTTTTCCCCTATCTTATTAATTTCTCTATCTCTCTTCTCTTATCCCGAATCTTACCCCCTTCAATTTCCCTCCTTCCCCTGTGGTACAACCCATTGTTCTCCCTCCCAATTACTCTTTCTGGCCCTCCTCATCCACTTTCTCGCTTGTCTTCACCTCTCCCTACCTGTAACCACACTACCTCCCTCCTACACACTCACCACTTGCTGACTAGCCTACTGTATCAACTGTACACAACCCCAGTTCCCTGCAATCCCTGACAGAAGCACCCACCACTACAACAGAAATACACCCAAACATACACAAGGACCACAAAACCCAGCAGCCCTCATACCACTTTCCCCACCCACCTACCTCTTTTCCCACCCCTCTTTTTTGGGGGCCACCTAAACCAGTTCCCCCAAATCTATAACTAACCTAATAACCATTACCCTCACCCCAACTCCCACTGTTTATAGGTATTATTAGCAAGAGGTTTTTTATATAATATGTAAACAAGTGGTTTGGCATTGAACCTGTGAATTTGTTATTGCTAAATTATACCTCCAGGCCAGGGAAAGAAAGAGCACATCAACCTAGCTAACAACCAAGTCAGTTACAACACAAAAATGAAATCAGGGAATGAAAACAGGCAATCAAAACAACCAACTAGGCTACTAAGAACATAGTTGCACAGAACCAAGTGGAGTGATGAGAAGAAGAAGAAGGAATGAAAACCACTTTTCTCAAAAAAAAAATAATAATTCAATACAGGATTTAGTGGGAAATGAAGAAAATGGATACTCAGTTCCTGACCTCAACAAAACAATGATAAATGTCACTAAGGAGCCCAGTGACACCCACATAAAAACACTCAAAGAGGAAATCTTGGAAGACATCACTGAGAAATTCATGGAAACGATACTAGACATGGTTAACCACAATGCACAAGATGCACTCAAGAAATTTTAAGACACCAAAAATAAAGAACATGAGAAAACACAGAAACAAATAAATGAGCTTACAGAGGACTTGAACAAACACCAAAGTGAAACAAAGAACACTATAAAAAGAGATATATGATTTGAAAATGACAACACAAAATATAAAAGAGGAGTTGAACACAGATATGGAAAACCTCAGAAAAAAGAATCAAACAGAAATACTGGAAATAAAAAGTCCCTTTAGTCAAACAAAAAACACAGTGGAAGGCCACTCTAGCAGAATCTTAGAGCTCAAAGATAAAATAGAAATTAAAGAAAAAATAGAAGAAATCCCAAACAACTCAAGAACTGTGAAAGGAAAATGCAAGAACCCAGTGACTCCATCAAAAGACAAAACCAGAAAACCATGGGCACTGAAGAAGGAGAAGAGGTGAAAGCTAGAAAAACAAGAACAAGCAAAACCCAAAACAAGCAGGAGAAAAATGATAAAAATAAGGGCCAAAATAAATGAAATAGAGACCAAAAATGCCATACAAAGAATCAATGAAACAAAGAGCTGGTTCTTTGAAAAAACAAACAAGATTGACAAACCCTTGGAAAACATGACGAAAATGCGGGGGAAAAGACCCAAATTAGTAAAATCAGAAAAAAAAAAAAAGGATGATAGTAACAAACACCAAGGAAATTCAGAGACTACTTTGAGAACCTATATTCCAAAAAATTAGAAAATCTTGAAGAAATGGACAAATTTCTAATACTTATGACCATCCAAAACTTAACACAGAGGATATTAACCACCTAAACAGATCTATAACACATAATGAAATTGAAGCAGCAATAGAGTCTCCCAAAAAAGAAAAATTCAGGACCTCACAGATTCTCTGCTGAATTCACCTGATCTTTAAAGAACTAATAACAACACTCCCTAAACTTTTCCACGAAGTAGAAAGGAAGGAAGCACTGCCTAACTCTTTTTATTAAGCTGGTATTAAACGCATTCCAAAATGGATAAGGACACATCCAAAAAGGAGAACTACAGGCCAATCTCCTTAATGAAAATTGATGCAAAAATTCTCAATAAAATAATGGCAAACTGAATCCAACAACATATCAGAAAGATCATTTACCATGACCAAGCTGACTTCATCCCAGGGATGCAGGAGTGGTTCAACATATGCAAATCAGTAAATGTAATACAGCACATTAATAGAAGCAAAGACAAAAACCACTTGATCATCTCAATAGATACAGAAAAAGCCTTTGATAAAATTCAACACCATTTTATGATAAAAGCTCTAGGAAAACTAGGAATACAAGGAATGTGCCTCAAAATTGTAAAGGCTATATATGACAAACCTATAGCCAACATCATACTTTATGGAGCAAAATTGAAACCATTTCCCCTAAAATCAGGACTGAGACAAGGGTGCCCACTATCCCCACTTCTATTCAACATAGGCCTAAAATTCCTAGTCAGGGCAATAAGTCAAGAAGAAGTAATAAAAGGAATACAAATAGGTAAAGAAATAGTTAAAGTATTTCTATTCACAGACAACATGATCCTATACCTAAAAGACCCCAAAACTCCTAGACACCATAAACAACTTCAGCAGTGTAGCAGGACACAAAATTAACTAACAAAAATCAGTAGCCTTTCTATACACCAATAATGAAAAATTGAGAAAGAATATAGGAAAACAATTCCATTTACAATAGCTTTGAAAAAAATCAAATACCTAGGAATAAACTTAACAAAGGATGTAAATGACTTCTACAAGGAGAACTATAAACCACTGAAGAAAGAGCTAGAGGAAGACTACAGAAAGTGGAAAGATCTCCCATGCTCATGCATTGGCAGAATCAACATAGTAAAAATGGCAATTCTACCAAAAGCACTCAATTCCCATCAAAATCCCAATGACATTCATCTCAGAGATTGAGAAATCTACTCTAAAGTTCATTTGTAAACACAAGAGACTGCGAATAGCCAAGGCAATACTCAGCAAAAAGAGCAATGCTGGAGGTATCACAACACCCGACTTCAAACTATATTACAGAGCCATAGCAATAAAAAAAGCATGGTACTGGCACAAAAACAGATGAAGACCAGTGGAACAGAATAGAGGACTCAGATATGAATCCACACAGCTATGCCCACCTATTTTTGACAAAGCCACAAAAAAAATATGATGGACAAAAGACGGTCTCTTCAACAAATGTTGTTGGGAAAACTGGTTATTTGCCTGCAGAAAACTGAAACTAGATTCATGCCTGTCACCCTGTACTAGTGTCAACTCAAAGTGGATTAAGGACTTAAATATCAGGCTCAAAACCTTGCAGTTAGTACATGAAAGAGCAAGGAATACTCTGGAAGCAAGAGGTATAGGTATGGACCTCCTCAGTAGAACTCCAGCAGCCTAACAACTAAGAGAAAGGATGGACAAATGAAACTACATAAAATTAAAAAGCTTCGCACAACAAAAGAAATGGTCTCTAAACTGAAGAGACTACTCACAGAGGAGAACATATTTGCTAGCTATATGTCAGACATAGGACTGATAAACAGAATACACATGGAGCTCAAAAAACTAAACGCCCCCCAAATTAATGAACCAATAAAGAAGTGAGCAACTGAACTAAACAGAACTTTTTCAAAGAAAGAAGTCCAAGTGGCTCAAAAAACACATGAAAACATACTCACCATTTCTGGCCATAAAGGGAATGCAAATCAAAACCACCTCCCTCCTGTTAGAATAGCTATCATGAAGAACACCACCAACAACAAATGTTGGCAAGGATGCAGGGAAAAAGGAACCCTCATACACTTCTGGTGGGAATGTAAGCTGTACAATCACTTTGAAAAACAATATGGAGGCTTCTTAAATAACTAAACACATAAATATGGCATATGATCCAGCAAAACCACTCCTAGGGATTTACCTGAAGGAATGCAAGTCAGGTTTTTACCAAGGCACCTGCACACCCATGTTTATTGCAGTGCTATTCACAATAGCCAAGCTAAGGAAATAGCCAATATGCCCCACTACTGATGAATGGATTAAGAAAATGTGGTATATATGAACAATGAAATTTCACTCAGTCACAAAGAAGAATGAAATTTTGTCATTCGCAAGTAAATGGATGGAGCTGGAGAACATCATCTTTATCTCAAACTTTATGTCTTTCTTATTACCTCTTATGTTTTCTCTTCAACAAAATCAGAGAAC